GAAGGATGGAAGGAAGGAAGGAAGGAAGGAAGGAAGGAAGGAAGGAAAAAAAACAAGTGAAAGGTAGAGTTTTATGTACTAAAAGATCACAAACATGTAAAAAGAAAGATATACACACAGTCCAATAAGTGGCCTTTGTGTGGAAAAGGTAGGTTCCCATTTTTTTCCTTGCATCACCAAGTTCCTGAGAAAAAAGTAAAGTCTAAACCAGAAACAAGGAGCTGCAGAGATAGCTGGATGGTTGAGCACTGACTGCTCTTTCAGAGGACCCAGCCAGGTTTGCTTCCCACCATCTGCATGGCAGCTCACAACCATCTGTAACTCTGGTTCCAGGGCATCCCTTGCCTACTTCTGACTCCTTTAGACATCAGAGGTGCATGTATCACAGAGATTCCTGTAGACAAAACACTCAAACACAGAAGATGTTGATGGTGATGGTGGTGATGATGGTGGTGGTGGTGATGATGATGATGGTGGTAGTGATGATTTTTTTTTTTAAGATGGAAAGAAACATCGAATATTTTGCCGACTACCTTAAGTAACATTCCTCAGCACCTCTGTGGAAGGGGGAGTATTCACAGCTCTTCATGTTTCTTAACACGGCACAGGGACATATTAACATATAACACACAACAAGGGGCTTCCGGTGTGTGTCCTCATCTCCTTCCCTCTTCCATTCTAATTATACTGAAGCCCGTATGCCATCCGATGTGTGGAGGCTGTCTTCAGTCCTATTCCCCCCTCACTCCCCACCCTACCCCCATCCCCATGCCTTCTTCCCAGGACTCAGTCCAGAAAGCCTCCACCCAACCACCACAAACGTATGAGCACACTCTGTTGTCAAGACTCACCGTACCTTGATGGGTCTGTGCCCTTGTCTGTCAAGTCCTTGAGGACAGGGACTCTCTATTATTTTCTCCTCTGAAACACAACAAGCAAGCAAGGCCTCAGCCTTTTAAAAACAAGACTAAGTTCATTCTCCCATATCTTATTTCACACACACACACACACACACACACACACACACACACACACTCCTGCTATTCTATACACAGAGAAATTTACCCCAGTCTGATCACATACTTTTCCAAAGTGTGAGTGGCTGGATCCTGCCTGGGATAGAGAAATACAGAAGCCTCGAATTCCTGGAAACTTGCAAATGCCACGACGGTTCCTGACCTACAGATGGTCCCTCTGTTTAAAATGCTAGAAGAGGCATCTCTGGTAGCTCCTCAGGTAGACTCCCCACAGCTGGAAAGCAACCATCCCTCCTGCAAACTGAGAGGCGTGTGAGACAGTGCTTTCTTTCCCACCTATAATATCAGGAATTACAAGCTGCCGACAGTATTTAATTCAGCCTTCGAGGCATGAATATATCATATGTTAAAAGAACTAACACAGATTTTTAAATTTTGTGTCATCAAAATATCTTTGCCACCACTCTCGATGTTGGTGCACATCTTAAATTCCAGCACTCAGGAGGCAGAGGCAAGCAGATCTCTGTGTTCAAGCCTAGCCTGGTCTACAGATTGATTTCCAGGACAGCCAGGGCCACATAGAGAAACTATGTCTCAAAAAACAAAAACAACAAGAAGAAAATTTTTTGCTTAAAAGGTGGAATTAGGGATGGGAAGAGCTTCTTTCCAGCTGCAATCAACAACCTTGGAAGGAATTTAGATTGCAATTAGTACTTTTACATTTTAATTCATTATCTTATGTGTACAGGTATTATGCCTGAATTTATGTTGCAACATGTTTGTGCTAGTACCTAGGCAGGCCAGGGAGGTAGACCCCTTAGAAGTGTGTATATATAGACAGTGTGAATTACTGGGTGCTGGGAATTGATCTTAGGTCCTCTGAAAAAGCAGCCTGTGTGCTTAACACCCGACCGTTGCTCCAGCCTTTTTCTACTGAGCTTTGAAACGAATCTCAATATACTAGTTCCTGAGGAATTTCAAGACTATTGATTTACATTATCCTCCCAGTTACCCAGGGTTACCAGAGGGAACTGGCCAGTAAGGAGTATTCCTCCATGGGTCCTGCCTGGAGAAATTGCTGCCTGGCTTCTTTCAGAGCTGAACTCTGACTAGAATCATAAATTCAGTAAACCTTCTTGTCCCCAGGTTGCTGTTAGTCGTGGTGTTTATCACAACAGCAGACAACAAACTAGGACGATGATCACATTTTTTTTCCTTGAGATTTTCCTGTAAATGAAAAGGCAGCTTTTCTTTCCTCAGATGAAGGAATGAAATGAGAACTGTGTGCCCAAACTTTACGCATCTGTGGCTTGGGCTGAGCCCTGAGCGTTCCCTTCTCTGTACTAACTATCCCTAGGCTTAGCCCTAGAAGCCTCTAGCCTCCACACAATCTCATCTTCTGCAAGCCTGGACCTTGAAGGCTTCAGCTTTCAGCCTCTATCTGCTAACCTAGGCCTAGAATGTTTCAGCCTCGGGGACTTGCTGCCAAATAAACTCACCCTTTCTAGCTCTTTCTGAACTCTGGCTGGTTGATTCAACTCAGTCGTTCTGGCCCAAACTCCTCTCCAAGCCGACTGATTCAAATTGGCTTCTCTCAGCTTCCAACACAGTTGCTCTGCTTGGAAAGACTGTCTCTGAACTCTACGAACTGAACTGCTCCCAACTGAACCGATCCAATCGGCCTTTCTCTCTCCCTCACTGATCTTGAGAGGTCCACTGAAAAATTAAAACCTTAGAAGTGGAAAATTTTTAGATTTCCAAGAAGCAAACTGGAGTCCTCAGAGAAAGCTACGGACAATGGGCCTTTAATCAATGACAACCCTGAAGTAGGGAAGACAGCTCCAAAACTGAGTTAGTGACACCTGGCAGGGCCACAGCTGAGCTGGCCTCTGAAAGTCTTTCAAGGTCTCAACAATTACAATGAAAGTAACATAATAGCCAATCAAAATTGTACTGATGTCACTGCTTTGCCCCTACCAATCATATTAGAGGTTACCTAACCCTTCTGGAAAATTCCTCCAGCCCTGCACAAAAGGGCCCTGCCAGCCCCTCTGGTTGTCATCATTTTGATGAATGTTTGACATCCTCCACCCCGTGCTGGTTGTTTCCGCAGAATTAATGCTCTTTGCCTTTGCGTACTATTTGAGTCTGGGGTCTTCCTTCAGCGATTCTTGGACCCTAACACTCTTAGGTAGCCTCTTTTCCCTGTCTGTTATTGTGAGAGTTGGGTGTATCCTATCTCCAGACTCATTCGGTCAGATCTTTCTCTGATTCATCACTTTGTCTGCCTCTCAATTGAATGTTGTTGTTTGGGATTAAAGGTGTGGCGGCAAAGATATTTTTATGACACAAAAATTTAAAAGCCATGATAGTTCTTTCAACATATGATATATTTATGTCTTGAGGGCTGAATTAAATACTATTTTCTATCCAATTGGTGGTAATGTGGTTGTTTGTTCTAACATTTTGTAATCTTTCATTCTACAGAGCACGGAAGTGTACACAGCTATTTGAGTGCCACCTAGTGGGCATTCTGGCTACATTCCTGATTTGAAAGAATAACAACACAGTGCATTCTTGAGGTCCTACAGACTGCCATCCCTCCCTCTCTGTGGTGAATGAAGTAACAGTTTACATAATTCACAGAACCTTCTATCCACCCAAACCAGTCAACATCGTTCACAGGGCTCTTCCATGACCACCTCGCTTCAGTTGTAAAGCCAGGATAATCTATCTTCATTTTCAGAGTCCTGAGCGATGCTGAGTAGACGGCTCCTGCTTGCTCAGCTCATCCAGGGCAGCGACCTCTCCTCCAATCAGTAAGACAAAGGCTTCATTCCTCGAGACACTCTTTCTCTTTCTCTCTCTCTCTCTCTCTCTCTCTCTTTAATAAAAAAAAATTGTATATACTTAGAAGTATTTAGAATGTCAACAAAACAGCCGGAATTTTTTTTTCAATCACAGAGTGGTATTCAGTTAACAGAACAACAATTATCTTCGTATAAGCTGCATCAGAGACAACTGAAGATGGAAAGGAAAAAACTCAAAAATAAAACCAAAAGAAAAGAAAAACAAAAAACCAAACTACCGTCCCCACATATAATTAATTTGTGCTGTGCACCAACAAGAACCTGCTTTAAATTTCCATGCCAACTTACAACCCCCAGACTGTACCAGGCAAGGTTAGTGGCTATTGAAAAT